TTTTCAGGCATACGTATGCAATAAAATGGCGAATGGAGACGGGTGTCTTTTGACGAATAGTTTCTCGGAGAATACATATCAGGTGAGAGTGGAAATTTTACACACTCAGAATGCAGGATCTGTTTGATACACAATAAAATATAGATAGACTACGATTATAATTAGATAAGAAAGTAACAAAGAGTTTACGAAATAACTGTTTACGTTTAAAGTTATGCGAGGTAAAACTTGTTTGTGGACTACTTTGTTGCAATAAATAGATAAATTAAGAAATTGATGATTGATCCTTGAATTAGCAGATTATTGAGTGCTGTTAAGTTATACTATTCATATTATTAATCAATTAATTAATTTTTAGATATGTATTAATATTTTTATATTATTAATACCAATAATAGTAATATTAAATCTCTCATTTCAGAACAGTATTTATTTTTAATTGACCTTTTCCTTCCTACGATATTTAATGATTGTAATTTTTTATATCAAAATTTGTGCATGATAACAAATCTCAATTTTAGTTATGATTAATTGTAAATTGTTGGTAAATTATCAATCTTTACGTGTTTCATTTATTCTATTTAAAAAAATGTTTTTTATTTAATCTATGATAAAAATATCTACCTTATCACAGATGATAAAAGAGAATATCAAACTACATTGATAACAGGCGGATATTATGTTTCCTATCCTGTTCCTATATCACCAACTAAGGGTAGTACTTATCGTCAAACAATAAAATAGAAATATACGTTACAATTATTCTTGTAATATTCCCGTAGAGGGAGAAGAAACAATCTTGTAATACAAAAGTTGAATGTTAGACAATATTACATCAAAATTTGAATATCTTTTTGTTAATTTATAAGTTTTCATTAGAATGAATATAGAGTTACTTTTGAAAATTAAAAACATTTGTTTTAAATAATTATATAATTCTAGTGCAATCAGAATATTTAAAACAAAGTTCGAATATTTCAAACAGAAAAAGAAACGTGTAGCATAGCATAACGTACCTAATTTTGTTAAGAAAATAATGATTTAACTATACTTTCCACTGCATATTCTTACCATACAAAACTGAAAATTTTTTATTGCCAAGATCTTTTCAATTTTTTTATTTACTCAAGTATTATAAAGTCTATTTCTTAATTTGATATACATATAAAAATCCTTCTATTTTATTGATAATCATTGTTTCATTTCCTATCATTTTTTAACAATTATTCCACAAAAATCTGTAAAAATTAAAAATATTCTCTCGTTGAAATGTTCAAATTACTAATAATATTTTAATATAAGCGATTCTAATTTTCTCCATTTATAAGATATAATTTGGAAAAATCTCTTAATAAAATTCTTTGACAAGTGAATTAAAGCAATTAAGAATTTCTTTAAATAAAAATTAAATGAAATACTAGACAGCTATTAAGAGATTAAATAAGTTATAGTTCTAAGCACATTGACGATATATTCGATTTAATAATTTAATGGTCTCTACCTTGTCGATCCATAATTCTATCTTTATTACAAGACACGAGGAAGGAAAAGGGCCATTAAAAATGAATACGGTTAAAACGAGAGTCAAGTATATTGTATCGTACTTTAATGGTAGTCTCTTACTCAAGAGTACGCCGCAACGGTTCACGAGGATCTTCTGCTCGGAATTTCCCCTCGCAATTTATGTTACTATAAAATGGTTAGAAGCCAGAGATTTCGCTTTATATGTCCTCGCGAAGCTTCTCGAGGCTTTCGAATATATCTGGAACGATTATTAATTGCGCTGTTACTTTCGTCGATGAGAAGAAGCCAATCCGACGCAACGTACGTGCATTCTAAAAGTGGATTGGCTACGAATGTATGCAGAAGAAAGCCCGAAATACAAAATATTAAAAATTCGATAAATTTACTTGTCATTTTTAAAATATTAATAATCTTTAATAACGTTTCTTAATTATATAGCAATAATAATCGCTGTACTAATATTTAATTGTAGTAAATATAATTGTACTAACTATATTTAGCATGGTATTAGTAAACGTATGCGAACATAATAAAATTTTCACTCACACATTCGCTTGCAAAATTAGAAAGAAATGCTCAGAATTTCTTTGAATTCCTCAATTGATATTAATCGCAAGCACTAAACTTCAATTTCGCGGCTCTCTCCCACTCCGCGTCTACTTAATTAAAGATCGCTTCTTTTATTTCTATCTATACTTAATAACGTTAGTAACGATAATATTTCAATCATACCAACACTCTACCATAGCGCGTCTTCTTAACAAAGATAAATAATCTCTATCTTGATGGAAAAAAGATACATCGATAAGGTGTCGTCTGATATTCATCATCGCTAGTCAATCAGTTGTTAATTCACGAACATATGTTCATGAAAAAGAGTATGCATTATCATGTATTGAGAATTATCGAGAATAATCGGTCATTTAATTTAGACTTTTCCTAGCCAGGCAGAAATTATTCTCATTACGTTAGTAAAGTAGAATGCAGCATTGTTAGTTGCTCTCTGATAGCTAGCAAGAATCGTAATATTTTATGGATCCACAATGTTTTACGGATTTCGTTTCACGTGTGAAGCTATTTGGCATATAAATAGCTTAAATTTACGTAATATTTAAAAGTCTGTCGGTTGCCTTTAGAGCACTCTTCAAATGAATCGTCAGAGACACACTCTTTGATAACAATTTCGCGGGTGTAACTTTTTTCGCACGCGAGGAAAACTTATAGTCGTCTCCATAAAGATTCTACTTAAACGATCAATCGCGCGACGCGATTATTTAGATCGAGAAGAGCGCAAATCTACTCAACAAGTTGAAGAAATTTCATGTCGAGACTGACTCAAGGTCACGACTGTCCATTACTCCTAATATCGACAAGATGTCTCGTTGTAAAAAGTAACGATATTGCAATACGAATTTAAAAAACTAAGAAGAATTTGAAGATTATGAAAAGTTACAAAATTATAAAAATGCCGCGCTCTAGTTTCGACGACGAATCTTCTACACTAGCATGCTTTCACGCGAGAAACACGAGAATTCGTATGCTCATGATTCTGGACGAGAAAAGGCTGAATTTATCTCTCGCCCAGGATTTATAATACCAGTCTCTCTGAAAATATCACTTTCAAGTTTAAATAATGAAGATGAACATTCAACTGAAACTAAAAGCGACGTGACGTAAGGAATAATTAAACCCTCAATTATAGTTAATAATGGAGCGTTCGAATGTTAGATTCGAAATGTTAAATCGTTTTAACTTAATCACGTGGAAAATTTAATGAGAAGTGCATGAAAACTTCGATTACTCCCTTGTTGATTATAAAACGTATCCCGAAAGAAATTCTATAGATGTCCCTTTTATTTATGGACGTTTTTAATTTCAGTTTGATGTTTTTACGTCTGAAATTATAGAATGCCTAAGAATGCTTAATGGCATTGTAAAGCATATTTTAAATTAGAATGCGCTGATTTAGAAAGAAGAACACCCATAGACGTAGTAAGAATAGACTGCGCGTTCCCTACCTCTCCCGCGTTGAGAACACGTGCAAACTTTGGAACGAGAGGGCTGACAGTTGAGTGGTCGCATCATCTTTGTCTAATATATAGCGGAGGTAACGGAAGAGTAAGGGGAATGACAGAGGACGACAGAGAGAAGGCGACCGTTCAAAGTATGTTGCCTCTTTCTAAAGTTTGTACACTGTGCTTCAGCCAAACGCGCAGTCTACATACTATACGCCTATGAGAACACCACTGTTCAACTAACAAAAGACGATGAAAGTTTAATGTGCGGAGAGAAATTTTCGCGAACCGAGAATATATCGGATTCTTATAGATTAAATCTAAAATTTAATATTTTGTTCCAGCTCGGTATAAAATTTTATCCATAGCGTCCAAATATATAACGCAACGTTTTAATCAACGTACACGCGAAAGTTACCTTAACAATTCGATTATTTGCCTGGTAAGCTTAGCAATAAAATTATTTGGCACTTGACCCTCTTTGAAATCCCGGTTAGATGTATCGCTAAACTTTTTCTTCTTAATCTTTCACAGTAAGTACGATGCCTCTCTCCCGTACGTATCTTCTTAATTTATGTCACCTAACTCGAAGTGCGCAACGTAATTCAGGCCTAACTTCGTTTATCGTTACGTCGCTTACGATATTGCACGTTGCGAGTGGTCTCCTCAACCCCCTCTAGCCGCTAATTGCTTTATAAAAGTCTCAGTTATATAACAAATAGAAAATTCACCGACATATCGTTTCGCAATAGACACTGTGTTTTAGCGCCATGCACATTCTGCAGGTTGAGAAAACCAACTCGCCGCATTATTACTCGCGTCTCCTTAACTCAACGTGGAGTTCTCAGTAGGAGGGGGTTTACTTTAGAAAACTTAATCGAACACATACTCAACTGCGTGACATACATATAGTCTATACATAACGTCGTGCGAAATTATTTCCATCGCTTGGAGCCGTCTTATTATTTAGCTGCGCGCACTTACTGTTCAACAATTGCATTTTCGCTAGACTTAAATAATTATTAATAATAAAACATGTAGTAAATATAACATGTATGTTTGTGTATGTACACAAAGTGTTCCGCAGTAAGTAAGCTCCACTTCAGCGCGGTGAACACATGACTGTAATTAAAAAATAAGATCGAATAGGACACATGTTTATACAGACTTTTATCATTGTACAAAAATGTAGAGCTTGTAGTCGACCAGACTGGCAAGGCTGAATGGTTTAATTTATTTTACCACGTTTCGACCTAATTCCAGGTCCTTATCAAGTAACAATAATTAAGAAACGGTAATTATTGTTACTTGATAAGGATCTAGAATTAGGTCGAAACGTTGTAAAATGAAGTAAACCATTCAATCTTGCCAGTCTGGTCGACTATAAGCATTTTTATTTAACAATTAAATAGCAGCTTAGTGACACCAGTCAAGAAATCAAGAATTTTAACAAGTATGGAAATGACCTTACTGGCAACGTTCCGGCCAGTAATACTGGTCCTTTTCAGGTAACAAACTTACAAGAGTGTCTCCCCTTCCACGCATTCTTACAACTCCTGTACGTGACTTTAGACTTATTTATCGCTTATTCACGGAAAAAAAAGATTTGCTATGACAACCAAAAACCCTGCTAGTCTAGCAAATTTACCGCCGTAATATACGGACAGCCAGTTTGCTATATTGCAGTAATCAAATCGCAAAGCTGCATAGGATTAGTAATTATATCTAATAAAATTTGATGTTACAGCACGGTAGATTTGTTAGTAGAGCAAAGATGATTCTTTACTACAACCAATGGAACACGCGCGACAAGTTGCGCGTAATCTTGACGCGAATTCTACGTCTTCGTTTGTTCCAGGGCAATGTTTACTGGGGAGCTGGCGGAATCTAGACAGACTGAAGTAACGATACGCGACATAGACGAAATGGCCACGGAGTTAATCGTAGACTTCTGTTACACTTCTCACATTATCGTCGAAGAAGCGAATGTTCAAACTCTCCTTCCAGCAGCGTGCATTCTTCAATTAGCAGAAATTCAAGATATGTGTTGCGGATTTCTCGAACACCAATTAGATCCATCAAATTGCTTGGGTATCCGGGCGTTCGCGGATACCCACTCGTGCCGCGAACTTCTGCGTATTGCCGATAAATTTACTCGACATAATTTCCAAGAGGTACGCCACGTCCGAGGTATAAGACGTCGGTCTTGACCTCCCGACTTTCGGGATATTTATCGCTTTGGTCCTCGTAGGTGATGGAGAGCGAAGAATTTTT